CACTATAACTCTAAATGAATCTTGTGCTGTATGGTGTTTTTGATTATTTTAAGTGTCCTGAAATCTACAAAATTAAAGCTTTGGGTTTTACCAAAGCTGAGAGCTATAGCAGATGTACCAAATGAGTGATCAGTGCTTGATTCATCATTTTCCCACTAAAGATTTCAGCAGCTTGCCTGATTGGTGACCTCAAACATTGTGGGTGTCAAGCTCAACTATTGTGACCTAATGTGCCCTCATCTTCAGAACTCTTCCTTTAAAGCTCAACTTTAATTTGATCTGCTTTGTAGATATTACAGAGATCCACTTACTCTTTAATGATGCGATTCATTAATAGACTTCCATTGGTTAAGTCTCATTGTATTCTGTGAGGTTATAACCTTTTAAATTGCAGACCATCCTGTAAGTGGAATGCAGCAGTGAGTTGGTTGTGTTATTAATTAACCTCAAAGATTTGTTAACCTCACGAGGTGAACAGGCTATGTAAGCCATGGCAATTACTCAGTAAATGATGTTTATCCTAGGCTTAATTCAAGCTAAATCAGTCTTCGTCAAGCCTGATTGAACTAGATATAGCTACACAAATGGTCGCTCCACCCATGTCACTTAAATCATAGCTAATCATGCATATTTATCCCATAGATAGACTTTTATATCCACTAGAGGTAAGTTGAAGGAAGAAGAAGGAGCCATTGTTATAAATGCAGACTGACGTAAGCAAGTTCACTTTCATGCCAGGAGTGCTGAGGGCAGGCCATCTGCCTTGCTCACTAAATCCTTTGTTTCTATTAGTTTAGGCTGCCTGAACACCTTAAATTTTCTAGCCCTGCAAACTCCTTCGCCAGACAACAGTAAGGCAAGAAGCACTACCTTTTCCCATCTAGGTCTCTGTAATCTGTGCAGACTTCTTCTGCACAAAACTAGCATCTTTCCCTTTCAGTAGCCTGTGTTGAAACACACATAATAGACACAAAGCCTGGAAGCTAGCTGGGTGTTCAAAAAGATGCATATAGAGGTTTGCCACCCCAACCCCGGAATAAAGACAAGAGGCAATAAATTGGATTAAATGCGGGCCACACTTTATTTAAATGACGAAATCAGAAAATTGGCTTTTGGCCAGTAAAGAAATAAAGGCGGGCCTGCTGTAGTGCGGAAAACCGGTTAAATGCAGGGTATTCTCATACCCCCTCCTCAATAAAAAGGCGAGTCCCCGGCCCCCAAGTTCCAGCAGTCACGAGACCGCAGGATCCTGGCTAGCCACTAATAAACACCCCCAGACCTCAAGCCATCTTTAACTGTAATCGCACGATCCGCAATGCCGGAAGGTCAGATGCGCTGTTGGCTTATCTGATTTTACAAATTGGGACACAATGAAATTCCCGTTATTTACGCACTACCCGCCAGTGTGACTTAAGTAATTTCACCAAAAGCCAACAAACCCTATTCCAGTGTGGGATAGGCGAAAAATCCCCCTATCCATGGCCAATCAGGATGAAGGTAAAAAATTCCTATCCGGCCCCAAAAGAGGCGACCAGAAAAGTCACACTAGAATTAGGGAGGGCGCGTGGGCGCGCGCGCGTGCCCAAAATGAAGAGGATAACGTGGGGTACAGCAGATCCTTAAATAGGTTAGTCTCTCCACCCCAATCATGCTGCGTGCTCCCGCGATGCCTCTGTCCTTCCGGGGTGGGCAGCAAAAACAGCTCACGTTGCTCAGCTACTTAGCAGCGAGCTGGACTTCTACTCATAAAAAACTCATATAATAAGGTAGCAGTCATTGTCGTTATGCCCAATTTGTTTTAAAGCTTTATTTGTATAATTCTGCCTAACATGTGAAGGCAATCGTCTTGTTCCCTTCTCTTGCAAAGACTGCCACAAAACACCTTATTGTCTCATGGGACAAGAAGAATAATCTTGTAGTTCTCCTTACGTGAGAGGATCAAATAAATAGGGCTTTGCATGCTTTTTCGGTCATCAACCTCCCCCTAGTTCCACTCCTATCAGGATGCAAATCATCATAGAAAGTTGTTCTGTTAGATGGGGAAGGGTTAAACAGCCCTTCCTTAACCAGTCAATGTGGGCGGGAGACTACCTAAAAAGCCACATGTCACTTAAGCTGCTCTGAGCTTTCTGAAGTAAGAACAGAATATGAGTGGAATAAATAAAAAAAATTGGGAGCTTTAGATAGTGGAGGTCCCGCTTATAAATCCAAAGCTTATTTTAAAAAATCACACTGGATGGTGAGTAAGAGGCAAGGAAGCTGGCTCATGTTTTATGGATATTTCCCCTTCTCTTACAGCTCAGTCATTTCCATTTTCTGTTTCCTTTTTGTGTTTATAAGCCACATATTTAATAATAGATTGTTCTCCATTCTTTGTTGCAAGGGGAAAAAAATTGAGCTCATTATGGCTCATGTCGCTTGGCCTGTCACTTGGACTTACCAGCAGTCACTGTGATGTGGAATAGTGTTGCTTCTGCCTTTTCTACAAAAGACAAGGTGGTGCTGAGGTACTATTAGAGCTAATTAGAAGAAAGTCAATTACCAAAGATTTCTCCCCAGAGGATTCAAAATGCCAGACAGCCACATCAGCTGCCTTTTGTTTTTTGCCCCCAAATTTACTAAGAAAATTATTTAATGTTCACTCCTGTCATCAGAGGAATGATGGGGGTGGGATATGTAAGTTTCTTTGACTTTTGAAGTGTTATTGGTTTACTGACTATTTTAAAGAGGTTGGTTACAGTATAATTCTGTCCTCAAATGACACCGCTTTGGAAACAGAAGGGGAACTTATGTCCCTTGAGATGTTTTCTGCTGTACAATTCCCATCACTCCTCACTACTGACTGTGTGATGAGGGCTGATGGGAGGGAGGTGAGGTCTACCAATATTGGGAGGAACACATCTTCTTTATCTCTATAGTCAGTGGTAAGGAGTGGCCACAATCTCTCAGTCCCAGGTGTTTTTCAGGGGAAGGTGATGGTGAACACAAAAACCACTGTTTCTTAAAACCTCACCCCCCCATTCATTATTATTGTTATTTATACAGTCAGCAGTGCTTATGTTTCCTTTCCCGATCAGAGCACCTGCAAAGCTTGTACAGTAGAGCCAACTGGACATTGAATTCTATTGCAATGGAATGAACAAATATTGTCTCAATGACACTTCTTTTCCCCAAAGTCATCTGAAAACAGATCCCACTGAGACCATGAATGGGCATAGATCAAGGCAATAAGCCAAGGACTGAAGCAGTAAGGGTTGAAGTATGGAAATAAGGGACAGGGAGCTTTTTCGATTCTTTGTAGCAGAACCCTCAGAATCATTTCTATTTCACCGAGGCGCCACTGAAAATTCACGTCTTGCTTTCACAGAACTCTGAGCAAGGTAACAGATGAAAGGTTCATTTCATCTGGGTGAGTGGGCGAGTGGGCATGGTGGCTTCTGAAGGGATGTGGCTTGGGGTGTTATGAAGAAAGCTTGTATTTCACTATGCCATCACATGGCTTTCAGAGCTTGGATACATTACCTTTTTTCACTACAGCTCTCAAAGTCCCCAACCAGTATGGCCAGAAATCATACTATCTGAGGAATTCTAGGAACTAATATTCCTCCTCCCCACCACAATCTCTGATGGCTCTGTTTTTATCCAAAGATCTCCAGATGCAATAATCCAAGTTTCTCCCATGTAAAAGCTCTTTATATAAAGAGAAATATCTGCTGGGATGCATCCCAGACTTTTACTAAACTTATGGGGTCTACATTACTTATATAAGGCCTAGCAAAGAGGGGAGTGTTCGCCTATAACATGACAAATAGTTGGGTATTTAGACTTTACTTAAACACCTTTAAGAAAGAAGAGACCTCCTCATTCCTGGATGGTCTCCGTTTTACTGTCAATCAGCCCATCCTATCAGGATGTCTTAAAGCAGAGGTTTCCAACCTTTTTAGGACTGCAGACCAGTTGGGAGTAAGTGGGCTTGTCATGCTCTCACGGGTGGATGTGTCGTGTTTGCAGAGAGGCATGTCACACTCATGGGTGTCATGCTCACGGGTGACACGCCCCTCCACAAGTACGACACGCCCACCGTGCATGCCTGTGGGGGAGGAGATCCATCTCCATGGCCCAGTTCCAGGTAGCCCACGAACCAGCACCAGGCTGTGGACCGAGTAAGTGGGCTTGTCATGCTCTCACGGGTGGATGTGTCGTGTTTGCAGAGAGGCATGTCACACTCATGGGTGTCATGCTCACGGGTGACACGCCCCTCCACAAGTACGACACGCCCACCGTGCATGCCTGTGGGGGAGGAGATCCATCTCCATGGCCCAGTTCCAGGAAGCCCACGAACCAGCACCAGGCTGTGGACTGGGGTTGGTGAACCCTGTCTTAAAGCAAAAAAAGTGTGCTGCTTATATATTGCCCCACAGCACATAAAGCACTCTACGTGATTTACAAGTTAATTATGCAGGCTACACATTGCTCCCTGCAAGGTAGATCCTCATTTTACCCATCTCCAAAGGATAGAAGGCTGAGTCAACCTTGAGCCAGCTACCTGGGATTAACCCCTAAACTGTGTGCACAGATTTGGCTGCAGTACAGCAGTGTAACCAATGTGCCTCGAGTCTTCCTGATATTTGATCCAAATTCTGTTCTTTGTAAAATCAATGCATGGGTTTGAATCTTACCTGTGCGGCTAAAATTGCCATTCTTGAGCAAATGATATATGTATGTGAATCAGTTTGTTGGGAAAAAGAAAATTTCCTGAGTAGGGGAAATGTAATTTCATGTTATTAAACATCAGTTACCAATCATTCACCTCCTGTGTTGAAATGTGCACCTACCAGAGATGGAAAAAGTTTTTTTTTTTTTTTGGATTACACCTCCAAAGCTTGGACTCCTAGGAGCTGACTGGGATATTCCACAATTTGTACTTTAAAAAAAACATCACCCCCCTCCTTATCTCTGGTGCCTCAACTATTGCTTCTTCTTTAGCATTTAAATGTTACCTTTTGCGCTCGTCGTTTGTCAGCTCTTTGATTCTGATGATAAATTCGGCTGAAGTTGGAAACAATAACCGGGACAGGAAGCGCAATGACGAGCACCCCGCTCAAGGAACAAATGGAGCCAAAGATCTTCCCAGCAATTGTCTTGGGTACCATATCACCATAACTAGGGTGAAAGAGAGACAAAACAAAATGGTGCCATTAGAATCAAAGTGATGCTAGGTAAACACTTGCAAATTCTGTCAAGTAGAAGAATCACTTGCCCACATATTCTGTGTTAAAAGCAGAGAGACAGAAAAGTTCAGTTTTGGAAGAATAAAAAAATTTCAACAGCTTCCCTGCCACTTTTTTTAAAAAAAGTAATATTGATTGATTGATTGATTGATTGATTGAGGAGTGCCCTTTGAGAGAGCCATAGGGAGAATTAGATGCTCCACTACATTGGCTCCAAGCCTTCTGCATTGTGTATTGGATCTCAACTTTATTGTGTCAGGTGGTTGCATAGAGAATAGCCTGCTTTGTGAGATGCCCCCCCTTTAAGTGGTTTTGCAGAACAAACTCCTGAGTTCCAGTGCATAAAAGCTATGCAGAGCTCTATAAAAATGACAAATGATACTCCAGTCCAAGATGCTTAGTTTATATTCATTGCAAGATCATGTTGATGGATGAGCTGTTTAAGCCCTCTCTATGTTTCTTCCAAGCCATTCCAAACTTCGTGTCTAGCAAAAATGAATTGACTTCTGGTTTGGTTTTAAATGTTCCAGGCTTGTGAGTTCTGAAACTGGAAGCCCATGGTCACTTAAAAGTTTTGAGCTGCCTTTGTTAAGACAACAGGATCAGGGCCTGTGCTCAACATCTTGGGGTCTGATGTAAGCACTTGGAAATACCCAATATACCAGACCCTACACAAAACAAGGGAACACACAAACACATCTATTGAGACACCACAATTCCACCTTAAGGAATAGAGCCTTTCAATACATATTGGCAGTTCGTTACAGCAGCTGTCATGCTATAGGAGTCTAAAGATCATTTTGTTGTCTTCACCCACTTGTTAAATAATTGGTACTACCCACAAAACAAGAAATAAAAACAGGAAAACTGAATGATAAGCAAAAGTGGGGTCAAATGCAAGGTTTGGCAACATAAATCTCTCTCTCTCTCTCTCTCTCATACTGTTCTCACATTAAATCTTTCTCAGAAAGTTCACAACAATTAATCCATTAAGGTAGATATGAAAAGTGTAAACATTTTAGAATAATCACAAAATACATGATTTTTAAAGACAAAAGAGAATAGAAGTTGCAATGTCTAGCTCAACGCCATTTTCCATATCCAATACATCTAGACATATACTCTCCATCTCGGTGCCATCTCAGTTGATGAGGCTGACTTCCATCATAACACACCTATGTGTGGATTGGTTGCTTTTTTTACTAAGGTCCAGCCAGCCTTTGATGTTACTCATCCAACAAGTCTACCTCGTTCACCTTTACCCTCAATGTTCCTTTCAGTGATGTATTGCAATATATTATATTTATCATGACAAATTATATGTTCACAATATGAAAGCTTGCATTTCTTAATAATTAACTCTGTTTCTTTTTTATTTTATTTTCCAATGAAGTGCCTTTCTACTATTTATTCTATTGGTGCTTGAGATGCAAAGGATTCTTCTGAATGTGCACATTTCAAAAGCACTTATTCTATTGAGCACCTCCTTTTTAATAATCCAAACCTGATATCTTTATCGGATGCTGACCATATATAACTCTTTAGTATCCTCAGTCTCAAAGGCATATTCAGCTGTTTGTTACACAATGTTTTCTTCAAATTCATAAAAGCTGTTCTAGCTATCTCAGTTTTTCGCTTGATTTCTGTATTGCAGTCCATGTGGTTGTTAATTTAATGACCTGGATGCGTGCAGTTGTCCATATGCAAACTGTTGCACTAATTGACACTATCCCTAATTTTCACTGTTGATTTGCCTATGAAACTGGAAGAAGTTGACAACTCTGATTTTTATGCAGGGTTATTTATTATGAGAGTATAAACATCTAGTAGCCTGGAAACCGAGGACCAACCTTGGTGCCCAATGACCAAACTACATGCTACATGAAGGACGGAGAATGCCACTAGAGTTTACTTTTGTTGCTATTTTACTCTGAAGTAAGCACAGACTCAGTCTGGATCAAAAAAGGTGCATGTGAGTGGGGAACCATTTAAACCTTCCTTCATCTGGCTTTTATGCAAACAAATCCTCCCCACAGGAGTTAAAAAGAGGAACAGAAAAATCCATGAGCACATGGGGGGTAAGAGTTAGATGAAAAACAGGTGGCAGGAAGACCTGAAACCCCACCACCACCACTTGCTGCACCTGATCCAATTTAGGACTTATGTGCACAATTAGAGGGGGAAAGTCTTCTTTCACTGAACAAAAGCCCTAGTATTTCTTTCTACTTGTGTAAGGCTCAATTGTGAGTGAGCAACAGAACACTTCTGGACTTTGTTCAAAGAAGCACCCAATAATACTCTAAGAATTTTCTGGCACATCAGGGGCCAACACATTTACTGATATAAACAGAGGTGAAGAAAGTTACTTTTTCTAGACTACAGGTCCCAGAAGTTGTAAGTTTTAGAAAAAAAAACAATACTCCCCTTTTCTGGATGTAAGTCATGCTGGCCTTTCAGGTGCTACATTTTCCCTTGTTGTTTTTGCTCCCACAAACTAAGGCAGCAGCTCGATTTATGGTTGCAAACTGAAATAGCTGAATTCTTCATTTCAGTAACAAATGCTGCTTACAGAGCGGCAGTACAATCTCCTTTCATTTTAGTTTTTTTGGTCAAAAGCACAGCTCTATGCTTTTTCTCCCATTAGGTGGGCTACTTGATGTTATTTGAACAACTCTTTAGCTGGTATTAGAATCTTGTTGATTCAGACATTCATACTAGGTTAATTCAAATCCGCAGGGCAAACAATGGGTTGGTGGGCCTCTGAAAGACTTGTACAATAGCTTCCAGTCAGCTAGCCAATGGTGAGCTAAGCTAGACTGAGGGTGAATTTACTTTGCTCATAAGGAGACAGCTAACTGATTATTATTTTTATCCAGGCGTATCTTTTTTTGGTCAGCAATGTATTTATATAAAAGTCTCTTTCATCATGAGCACAAACCATGTTCGACTTACCATTGCTAAGACCTCTTTCCAGCTCTTTGACATTATGTGGCATCATCTCACAAGTCTACATTCAAAATCAAGAGGTCACTAGCCAGTTCACAGGCATAGAAAGCTTCTACAGTATTTGCCCAAAGAGGTCAAAATTAAGCAGCTTTTAAAAAGAGCAGTACAATACAGAATGGCTGCTGCTGCTGCCTGACGGCCCTAAAATCATTTCAGGGGTCAGCCATTTCCATCTTTAACTCAGAGCTATTCCAGATGGAGCTAAAATCCCCCCATGTCCTTATTTTTCTTGGATGGTAGCAAACAAGGCCCATGACTTAATCTACTTCCCTTCTGGAGCTTCTCTTTAGTCACTTAGTATGCTATAGCCCATTCTGGAGTGATATTGTCACCCACTGGAGAGGTGAGTCAGCAGTGGAAGAAGGGACAACATTTTCCAAGTGTGACATGACCATGACTTCCCCTTTCCAAAGCACAACAGAATGGTGTATTCCTCTTCAAGAAATATTTGGCCACCAGGATCCCTTGAGCTCCATGTAAGACAGAGCAAGCTACAAAACATTTACTGTGTCCTACATTTTTGAACTATTGGCTGCAGACGGTTGAAAAAGAGATAAAATGAATGATTTGAAGCTATTATTTTAGTAACCATTGTGTCTGCATCATGTCTAATAACTGCTTGCAAAAAGCCACAGTACTTTTAAAAGTACCACATTGAACTATGAACCTCTTGTAGCCTGCGGTCCTAAACACACATTATAGAATCCAAGCTGATTATTTTCATAATGGTAACAGATGGCATTCAGTTAGGTTTTAGAACCCTGAGAAGTTGCTCTGTGACACAGTAGACTCATGACTGATGGGCCAGTCATCTTGTATTAAGAGGTCCAATAATCTTTGCTGCATGTGTCATGCTCAACTATAAATCAGAATTCAGAATCCCAATTACCTTAGCTGTAATGTGGCACTCAGTAAGCCAGGCCAGTCAATCTTACTTGTTAGTCCTGTGCAGTGACTGCCTCTATGTTTCATTAGGGAATAGAGGGCAGACTTCTCTTCATAGTGCTAGCAAGGAGATAACAACCGCAGAACAAAACTCTGATTCCAAATAGACAAAAGTGATGAATTCCTGCTGTAGATTGCTATGGCAGTGCACAAAACAGAAACAACTCTTAACACAGCAACGTGCCAATAGTACTTTCTACTGGTGTGTTTATTCTGACATATACGGCACCCAAAAAGTCTGAGACCCAAGGCAAGAAACTAATAGGAAGTTCTTTTCCATAAGCCACACTGAATGAATGAGACAAACATGCCTGACACTATGCTAAATCCACAAATGATTGGCCAGTGGCATGAACACCAGATATTATTATGCTGTCTGTTTTTGCTGTTGTTGTTGAAGATGATTAGCTCCAAATATAAAATGAGTAGGCTATTGTTAAAGTAGTCAGTGTTTAAGATTTGGAAGACTTTGAATGACTTTGGCTTGATATGTCAGAACTCAGTGTGAAAATGAACTTGGCACTTTTAATGGACTATTGAAGTAAATTCACAAAGTTATCACTGAGATTCCAGTTTTAAAGCATATCAAGGTCAGAGTTTGAAGCCAGTGCAAATGTAGAAGTGTAAAAGAGGCCAGTTGATTTTGATAAAGGTAACTGTATCAGAAAGGATGAGAATCTTTGAATTAATTCTTCGAAAATGCTCCTTATTAAAAAAACATTGACCCAAAGCTAGCCTTTTCTTACATTTCATAGTCTTCCTAAGTGTGGTCTCTTTCTGGTCTCTTGCTTGATTTCTGTGGCTTCTATTAAAGGAGAGGGTTGGCAGTTGAAGCTAATATACCACAACCAGCTTAGCTGGCAGTTGCAGTATCTGAAAGAGAAGCTAATGACCCTGACACCTGACTTCAAGCAAAGCTTTTGACAAAGTGTCCCATGATACTCAGATTAGCAAGCTAACAAGGTGCAGGATGGATAGAAC